GATTGTGGTGTCATTTGTCAGAATTTATGAAGTCACAGAACAGCCAGTGGCAATGCAGCTGCTGTTCCTGCAAATGTCTTCTAAAATACTGATAATGTCAACAGAACAACGTTTCTTGGCTTGGCCATCATCCTCTTTGCTGTATCTCCCCAAATAATACACACTGCTTTGCCTGATTTGAAGGAATAATGTTAAGACATTGCAGGTAGAGGATATTGAAATAACACTACCAGACTATCATGTAGGATGTCATGATGGGGCAATTATTTTATTTAGAAATTCATTAAACAACTAGCTTTTATACAGATGAATGTTCAGGCTTCTCAATCATATTCTATTTTAAGCTAAATTTCAGTATTTTTTTAATTTAAATTGGGTGGACAGGCTAAGTTTGTGATGAATCTTTTTTTTTTTCTTCCCTTTGCTTGCTTTCAGACAGTGGTTGACTTTGAAAATTTTGCATACAAGTGCTTTTCTTTCATGTTGGCATACTACCTCAGACAAATGAAAAAATTCAGTGCTAGAACTGTGGGACCTGTTCACCTCTGTAAGCACAAGTTTCCACTATTTCCATAGGGTTATGAAATGCATATCAGAGGAGGACTAGAGTTCAGAGCATGTACTGGAGTCTGTTTTTCATGTGAACAGTGGTATTTTCAATGATGCTTCACCAGGTTATACTTTCTTCTTGGAGACAAAGCCAAAGCATGTGGGGAGGAACCTACAGTTTATCTTGATGTGTAAAATTGTTTTATTGCCATCAGCTGTGTCGTAACATGTTTCTTCTGTGTTTCCCCACTGTCCGTGGACATACTGCTTTAAATTAGGATGAGGCTAAGGAAGGAGACAATTTTTCCACTTGCTGAGAGAGGGGATACAGTGGTGCATTGGTTCTCATGCTCCTGGGTTACGATGTCCAGCTGAGAATTCTGCTAGCTAGTCAAAAAATTACTCTCTTCAAGCAATTAAGTTTAGAAGTACAGAAAGATAACAGACAGGTCCTGTTTCAGTAGATCTGTATTAACTGAGAGCTAACCTTTTCTCATTTTAAACTATGGCGCTAGCTTCATGGTGAAGCATAAACTTAAATTAACAAAAATGACAAACTAGCCAAAGGATGAGCAGTAATTTGTTCTGAAGATAACTTAACTTCCTTCAGGTGGTGGAAGTAAATCCTGCCTCTGGGGTTGACTTGCGTTTTCACTTAGGCTCTTGTTTAAAATTTGTCAGACTTCAGTGAAGACATGCTGATTTAATTGTTTGCTTTGGGTATTGCTGTATGGTGCTTGGAGATTTCTCAAGTACTTGGGTTACATCAGGAGTTTTTTTAACTTGGGCGTTTCACCTGTCATAGCCAGTAACTGAGGCCTCGGAAGGCAATCCAGGGAATGTTGTAGAGCATTCTCTACTGATCCCATCTACTTTTAACACCTTAATGCATTTTAATCCCTTACTAGATCCCATATTACAAGATTAATTACAGTGTTTCTCCTTGGAGGCTGGGATTCTGACAAGGCTGTGAAACTTTGGTCATGTTTGTTTTGTTGTTTGGGGTTTTCTTTCTACTCTGTGCATTTATTAGCCAAGCTGGAAAACCCTGTTACAGACCCCTGAATAATGTGTTGCCTGCTTTTTCTTTGGTTTCAGAGGGCAATGTTTTTGTCATAGCTTGCCTTTCAGTTCCACAAACCCGGCTATCTGTGAAGGACCATAAATTTGTTAGGATTCTTTGTTTTGTTGCTTTTGTACCCAGGAGCACAAGATTTTAATAAATGTCCATATTGCTAGCAAATAATAGTTTTAATAGATACTGAATACTTTTAGGCTTTTCATTTTTTGATTTCTGTGATTCCAAGTGGATTTTGTACTGACAGTTGAGATAAAGAACAGTCGTCCTTAGCTTCTTATTTTCTTTTGTTCTGTGTTAGAGAGGGCACACGCAATGGTGCGCTATGCATGCGTCATTAATTTCTTCTCACCAGACAGTCCCAGCTTTTTCTGTTCCTTGAAAATCTTGTGCGTCACCTGCTTGCTATCTTTCAGGACTGTTATGTGTGCTGTATTATGTCTTTTTTTAAATGGAGAATAATTGACAAAAATATGTGTATTTTCTTAGCCCAAGGTGGTCTAACGCCCTACTACATTTATTTTCCTATTGCATTCTTTATGACATCTTCCTGGCTTTGTCTTCATTAGACTTCCTCAGTAACATGATGCAGATGTGTAGTTTGCTACATGGTTTTTTTTTTGCACGTGAGCTTTGAGGGCATGTTGGGGGTTAGTAATGTCCCATGATTAAGATCACCATGAGCTTGCAAATCCCCTTCTCACAGTTGCTGTGCTGAGTATGTTCACTCGTGTGGTCGTGGTAAGCATCTTGTGTGTGCTTTTTGCCTTGTGGTAGAAAAGAGTAGTTAAACTGAGCTGTATGTCTTTGCACAAGCTGTTGGAAGCAGCAGTGAGAAAATAAGTTGAAACTAATGGTGTACAGTGCAGAATCCATTGCAGTTTTCTGTGAGGGTGGCTGGCTACTTCTGTCCCAAGAAATGAATTTAGAATTTGCCTCATAGGATTATGGTTGTTCAAGAGGGTTGTGAGCAAACATCTGTTGTGGATATTTCTAGTACTTTTAAAAATTTTAATTTCTTAAGCCCCAGGATCACAGGTTTGAATGAAAACTGTGTTGCACCAAACTCTTTAAAACTTAATGCGTGCATAAGTGTTGCAAAGAAAAAAAAAGTGGGAGATCTAGAGGGAGGCGTAGACTTGATTTACAGTAGAAGAAATGAAAGTACAAATGCAAGCCAGTTGTATGCACTATGGCTCATTAGAGAACAAATTGCTGATACACCTGTTTTTTTTTTATTCCACCCAGTGTGACTTGTACACCAGGCCTCACAGACCACATTGCTGCACACAGTGTGTGGGTACAGCCACACACATTTGGAGTCTTGATTGTATCTGTATGCTAAGGTATTACTAAAAAGCTGGTATTAGATTACTTGCTTGGGGCAGAGCTGCAGTTCTGTTACTACTATTTTTTTCTCCTGTAGCTCTTAAAATTTTAATCTTTAGATGTAACATGATGCATGTAGTAACAGGCAGGCTTTTGGTTTACTTCCACTACCTAATTTTTGACTTGTCTTTTCTTTATGGGAATACTTCAGTTGTCTGTCTTCACTCTTCCTCAGAGGTTACGTGAGGGATTTCCCAACCTCAGCCAGTGAGTGGAGATAACAGCAACTGTAAAACTTCCAGAATCTCTGGTCAAATGTATTCTGCAAACTTGCCCAGGCACAGAGGATGATTTTCATAGTACACTCTTTACACCTGTGCTTTTATCCCTGCCCAGGCTCCATACACAGCATCAGGTTGGTCTGGCCATGGACATTCTAGGTTTCTGTTAGCTGCTGTCCTGCTATGTGGGGACATTTATTCATGTGCTAGAACAGCTACATTAGGTGTGCATAGGGTTAGAAATGAATGCATTGCTCCAACAGTTGTCTTAGGCAAAGTAGATATGGCAGATTTACGTAGTAATTTGTTTTGAAGTTCAACTGGTGATGTGGACTGAGGTATGACTTGTTGTGATTTGTGATTGAAGCTACTTGATGTAATTCTGTACAGAAGCAGAATCTTATATAAAGCTTATTCTGAAGAACTTGCTTTTTTGAGTTACAAAAAAGTTAATCGTTCAAGACATTAGTTCTTTCCAAGCATTCAGCTTTACAAAAATTGCCAAGGTAGGTTTTGATAGCAAGTGAGACTGCTTTCTTTAGTCTCCACAGTACAGAGTTGCAAGTTAGTGATACCCTCTATATTTCAATGAAGACTTAAATCTCTTCCATTGTTGATGAAAGTATTACGTAAGTACCTCACTGTAACCATTTGATTGATAACAAGGTTTTTTCTTCACTTATGACAGGCAGAGATAGTTGGGGGGGGGAAAAGTTTAAAAAGCTGTATTCTGTGACAAAAAGTGCGTACTGCCAATGTACTACCCAATGCTTTCTTTTCAAATATATTTGACCACAAGTTGGTTAAGTATGACTTTCTGTATCGGCTGGTAAATACTAGGGTGCTTGTGTCTGGTTGGTTTGTTTTGCTTTGAGATACCTAAAGCAGGAGATGGATTGTAGAACCTGATAGTCTGCTCTAGATAGTATGCTTTAGTGTTTGTGTTCAGGGACTATTTGTTGTAGTGCTTGTAGCCATGTTATCCTGTTGTCCTTTTCAATACATGCCGTGAAACATTTAGACAAATAGTTGAGACTTGACCTATTTTGGTGTCCATCTGGTTTGCTTCTAAACAAAGTTTTGAGGATGTTGCTTTGTCAGGAATTATTCTGAAAGGTCTCTAAAGAATTATCACTACTGTTCTTCAACTGCAAGAGGAAATTGCACTCCCTCCAACTTCATGAAAATCTAGTTACCATTTCCTTCAGAAGAACATCTGTAGGGCTGTGAATGAGCGAGCTATAACAAACAACTTCTGTGATATTCCTCTGCCTCCCTGGTTCATCATGTTCGATTTCTATTGCAAAGCCCTACCTAGCCTTTCTTCACTTCAATATACTTCAAAGAAAACAACCCTTTCGAGCCTGCTACCCGTTAATAAAGCAGCCAAATTGGGTTATCTAGCTTGCAACAGTTATTCTCATAAAGGATCTGGTAGGTTTTCCCCTATTACTAATAAAGGGAGAGCGCTGTGTCCTTGAATAATCAAGTCTCTGAACTGAAAAAAATGGGGAAATATGAATTGGGGGAGGAGTTAAATCTTTCTCCCACTCCCTTACACTTGGTTTAAAACCTGCCAGCCTCTCTGAATAATTCATCAATCATATAAACAATGACCCTAGTTTTTGGACAGAGAAAATAATAAATGCTTAGCTTAAAAAGTAAAAACAAAATCCCATACCCCACCAAAGAAGGACATCTGTTTCTAACTTCAGCTTTTTATTTTTTTATCTTTCATTTTTTTTTGTTGGTAAATCTCCCAGACAACAGCAGTTCTGTAGAGAGTTTAAATATGAAGGAATGGCAGGACGGGCTAAGGGCACTTCTACCGAACATTAACATCAACTTTGGTGGACTGCCCAATGCTTCTTCCCCTTCCAACGCCAACCACAGTGTACCAACGTCCAACACTGCCACCACCGACAGCCTGAATTGGGACAGCCCTGGCAGCTGGATGGACCCCGCAATCATCACAGGTAACCGTTTCTCACTCCTTCAGCTCTGCTGGCAAACCATCAAATGGGTATTTGGCACAAACTGATTTACATCTGGAAAAAAAGAAAAAGTCAGTATGCGGTGGTCTCTTCCAGCTTCCATCCACAAAACCTCAAGGATCCAGGAATTTTTGTGGAACCGCTAGGTATAACAGTGTCACTTAGGTCTTTGCCATGCGTGCCCAGGACCTTTGCAGGCAGTCAGGCTGATCAGCACTTATCTGTAGGGTCAACGTAGGTGTCCCTTCTGCTGGATGGCATGTCCAGTATGTGCGCCGCTGGTCCTGAGGCACTGAAGGCATTCACTGGACTTTGTTACTTAAAAAGGGACATACTCCACTTGTTTATAAAGCTCTCTTTTATAAGGCTGTCTGGTTATGTTTCTGTTAGAGAGGCTGAAGCATGATTCAAGTAGGCAGAGTAGGAAGTGAAGCATGTAGTGTACTGGTAGTTTGGTGTCATAAGGTCATGTCAACAGGGATGCAGTCCTTGCACAGGATGTTTGACAGAAAAATGTGTTTTATGAAGTGCTCTGAGGGGGAAATTTCTCCTATCTGGATTTAATGTTAAATGTTTTGCGGGCAGGGTAATTATATAATAATGTAAAATGTGTTCTCTGTACAAACTAATCATGTTTTCTCACTGTTGCTTTTTGTTAGGTTAAATTGACCTCCTTCATGGTCAGCTTATTGCTTCTGCTCTGACTTGTCTGTATCCCTGTTTTTTTCTTCTCTTCATAGGTATCCCAGCCTCCACAGGAAACAGTTTAGACACTCTTCAAGATGACAATCCTCCACATTGGCTAAAATCTCTTCAGGCTCTCACAGAGGTAGACGGCCCCAGTGCAGCACCATCACAGACGCACCACAGTAACCCCTTCGGCACACAGATCCCTCTGCACAGAGCCAGTTGGAATCCCTACTCTACTCCTTCAAACCCCACCAGCTTCCATTCCCCACCTCCAGGCTTTCAGACAGCCTTCAGACCCCCCAGTAAAACCCCCACAGATCTACTACAGAGCTCAGCGCTGGATCGTCATTAGGAAAGGAGGAAAAAGAAAAAAGAAAAAAAACACCCAAAACGTTAGAAGTGCAGGAAGTGTCCCACCCTGACTCCTCCCCATGCCCACCTACTGTTCCCTGTCATATCTTTCTTTCTGAAGAATCCAGTTCCTGATCAAACTTCCCCCCCAAATGCAATGCCATCACAGGGTCATGACCGTATCTTTTCGTTAAGTGTCTGCTGAGCCAGTGTTTGAAATACACTGTTTGAAATATTTTCTAACCATTCTAAGGTTTAAAAAAAAAAAAGAGAGAGAGAAATCAAAATGCAGTCTCAATGCTTAAGGAGAATATTACTGTCTTATGTCTTTTGCACATGAGTATATCTGCCTAGTGGAAAAGTGTCAATCTGCAGTAGGGGAAAAATGCAATGCAGAAACATGAAAAAGGTATTTAATTTAAATGAAGTTACTGAACATGTGGGGTAAGCAGTGGCCTAGCATTTATTTTGCATTCAGTGTGGCACTACACAGAGAAATGCTATGTTGGGGGTTTTTTTGAGAAGGAGATTTCATTGTGCCAGTCAGAGTTTGACATGAAGTGTGTTGAAAGACAAAACACTTATAGCTATGAGTAACTGGCATGTTGCTAAAGAGTGGTTTAAAGAGGAGAGAATAAGATTTTTTTCTTTAATTTTGGCTTTAGATTTAAAGTAAACTTTAATGGTTTAAAAGTATTCACAGATTTAATACCTAGCGTATACATAATATAAGCAGCTGAAACATGAGTGATATTTACTTCAGTCTTTGTCTCCTCTGTCAGTCTCTCTTTCTTTTTTTTTAAAAAAACAAAGATTCACCTGATTAGGGCACTCTGGGATAGCACTGCATTGGGGCCACATGATCACCATCAGGAGCAACCTCTGACCTCCTCTGCCTGCAGCTTTTACTTAACCCTGTAGTTTCTGGACGTTTGTGCAGTACTGAAAAGACAGGAAAAAAGAAACAGATAAATAAACATGGTTATAACCTGATGCTAAAACTAAAACCAAGGAAATGTACCTCTTTCTTCAGAATTAAAACTAAAATCTTAAATAAACAGAAAACTTGATGATGACTTTGTGTTTGCGTTTTGGGTTTTTTTTAAACTTGGATTTTTAATTACTGTGTCTGATAAAACCTTATGTCACTGCATGTGGGTTTTTTCTGTTCGTCTAAACTGGAGCTACTCCTTCATGGAAATACTGCTTTGCATGGTGACTTCTGTATTGAAGAGTGGGAAAAGCATACACACATTGTTAAAGGGATTCTGTTGTCTGTACTCATGTCAATAGCTAGAGGCTCTTGTCTCTAACCTTTATAGGTGGTATCCTTTCAAATCTGAAAAACTTTATATTTTCTGAATCAAATGCCATATCACTTCGGACAGATAGCATGCAGTAATGTGTCTGAAGGGGTGGCAGAGAATTTTAGTTAAAACTCTCTGTGTCCGTAGGCATCCTTGCTTAAAGGTGTAAAATGTTGCTGCACAGCAGGGGATAAAGAGCTCTTACCATATAGAAGGCATCCAACAAGCTCTTATACTTCCAGTGAGAGATATTTGAAACCAGCAACCTTGTGATTGGAGTGCTCATGAGGATAGCAGAGAGCCTGAAATCCTAGAGATACCTGTGCAGAAGGATTTCTTACCATGTGAGTTGTATAGTTTGGTCTGGCTGCCCTCCTAAAATGTTTGCTCCTGGCAGGGGTGAGGGAGGGAATTCCCACTGCTGAACTGTGGGCACCTAATGGGGGTCAGGGGACTGGCCTTTCATGGTCCAGGGAGTGGGAGTAAGTCCTGAATTGATTGCTGGACAGGTGAACCAGGCACTGAATCTGCATAAAGTGACTCTACATATCTTGCTTTGTACAACATCACTTGTTAGCGATTGCCAGCTTTTGTTCTTTTACCTGTGTTGCCATTTAGTGGTGTATTTACCATCTGTGTTAAGGAACTGCACTTAGTGTTTCTGGATGGGCATCTGTGCTGCAGATCACTTGTGTGCCCTGGTTACTTGGGAGAATGTGCACACCCTTTGTTAACACTCCCCTGCAAAGCAAACAGTGGTTTTGTCACTCAGCCCCTGCACAATCCCCTGCTCTAACTGATGGTGGTGGAAGGAGAAGTAGGCTGGGAATGTCCTCTCCTGGACACTGCCTCCTGCTGGCACTGGGGATGCAACCCAGTGAGAACAGTCTGCTGGAGGTGCTGGTGAAGATGCAATGGGCTGCTTTTTTTTTTTCTCCCCTCTTCTCTCCCAGTTGTTAGACACAGACATTTTCGCCCTTTTAACATTTCTTTTTCAGAAGGGTACCCTTCCTGATCCTGACAATAAGCAAGCTTCACAAAGCAGTTGTAACTGCTTCCTATGTACTACAGCAATTCCTGAAGCTGTGGCCGCCTTCAGTTCTTGATTTGTCTTTGTCGCAGTTTAGGATGTGCTGAGGTAGACCTGTGCCCGTAGTCTGCTACCACTAGAAAATAAGCTTTGGTGGCTCAGGAGAGAGCACTTATTCCTTGCTGCCATACAACAGCTTGTGTGATTGGCCTACTGACAAACAGCCTTCAGCAAAAGGTTGATAACTAGAATGGTTTTTCTCCTTATGGTGCTGTGTCCCACCCTCAAAGACAGACTTCTTGGTCAGTAACGTTGGTGTTACTGGCATTAGAATATATCAGTGTTCAGGTTGATGTGTGTGGGTGCTGCTTCTGCCTCTTTTAGCCTAGTTTTATCTACTGTCTGATGCAGATTCCTGCATCCCCTCCAGTTGGGAAGAAACCTGGCATTTCACTCTGTTAAACTGTGTGGAGCTCAGTTAGTTTCTCCTGAGTTTTTTGTCATTGGATGGACTCTTTCTGTGACAAGAAGTTCTGTACAGGAACCTTTACTGAAAGGAGAGCATCCATGTGTCTGCTTGTCCGTGAGATCATCCCAGTGCATGGTCTGTTGTTTTATATATTGTATGGATGCTTGCAACTCTTCCTTGCATTAAGCAAAGAACAGTGCTCGACCAAAAGGCTGGTGACTCAGGACAAGCAACACATTTGGTAGATTGTGTCTGGTGGAAAAGAAATTGGAGAAAGAGGATGGACCAGACTCCTTGTCCAGAATGGATGTGAATGTGTGTTGAGGGGAAAAAGGGTGGTGTTAGCCATGAATGTATTGGTAGTTGTGCTGATTTTTTCAAAGAATTCTCAATTCAAGCATAGTTATTTGGGACTCAGCAGTGCTGAACTGATACTAAGGGTTTCTGGCTGCTTGCTTTTTTTCTTTAAATAGCTAATAAGGGAATGATGTTTCTCTGGATTAAGCAAGGGAGTATAATGCCACATTCTAGATAAGGTGAAGAGCCGTTGCATAAATTCATTTTCCTTCCTTTTATAACTTTTATTTCCTGTTTGCAAGTCAAGCGTAAGCAGGTATGTGCCCTTATAAGTGCAGTGTCTTGACAGGGCTGCTCTAACCATACTTAAAACACCATTGCCTGTTTTCATGACAGTTTTTAATCATGAAGTTGAGTTTGCATTCTACTTCCTGAACTCCAAACTTCTGTTTTCCTTCCCCTCTATCATAGACTCTGTTGTCCGAGAAGGTTTTTTTCCCTCCAAGATGCTCATTTAATCATAGAGATAAAAAATGTTGGATTTTAGGGAAAATGCTGTGTGGTTGGTTGCTTCTGGGGGGGGTGGTTTGGTTTTGTTTGGGTTTTTTAGTGCTGATTTGGGGTTTTTGGCTCATGTGTTTTTGTTCTGTTTTACTTTGGGTTTTTTACAGTTCAGTAGAGCTGGTCATGCTGCTGTGGAGAGTTTTGGCTTGAGCACCTTTTCTTCTGGGGGGAGAAGGGATCATGCACCAATTTCCTCCCTCACCCTTGCAAAGGAGCTTAGAAGAATACACTTGAAATACACTAGAGCAATTACCTCCGTGCTTCTTTTTCATCCCTCTCCTTGGGGTACATGAAATTTGCTGTAAGTTGCAAAGGAACTTAGCTTTGTTGTTGGTCTCCAGCATACTTAAATCCATTCCGTATGTTAGGTGCTGTATTGTCTGGGACCAAGTCACTCTGGGGCAAGCTGTAGTGCTAGAATAAAACTTACTGCCTCGAACTGAGGTGTGTAAAAAATGCTGAGTGGTGGCACAGAGCTTGAAGGGCCAGGGGACTGGAGTTGTCACTAACCCTAGCTGAAGGGGTTGTAGGTACCTGTAACTTCTTGAAGGGAATGAACTCTTTAGTCCAGCTGCCAGTGACATGGATTTTTAGCGCACACAGAACAAATTATATGAAGTGCCATTTGTCATGAATCCATGCATTAAAAATAGTTGTTGCTTTACATATTCCAGCAGTGTGTGGCTATATGGCTAGCTATAGAAGTGCTTTCTGCTTCAGTGATTCATTATCATCTGTTCAAGCTGAATGTGGGTGTAGTAACTGTAAGAACTTGTGCTCCTTCCTCTTCACACAGTGTATTTTTCCCTCCTTTGGGACATTTCACAGATGAGAAACAGCTCTCGGGTCCTCTTCTGTTTATGGCTGTGACTGTAAACAAAGCTCCTAGGGAGTAAAGTGAAGCATCATCATAGCTTTGGGTGACAGTGTAAGAAATGGTGTAGCTTCAGTATGCTCTGATCTACATGTGGGAACACTGTATATGAGGAAGATCTTCATCTTCCTTTCTTTATGGGGTTTGCCTTTGCCGTAGGCTTACTGCTGTTTGTGGTGAAGACTCCTGAGATGAAAGTGACCAAATGAGGTTCTTTGTCATACAGGGAGCTAGGGCAGCTTGCGGGGATGCAGAAGTCTGAACTGCTGCATTGCGTAGAGGTTTGAGTTGGGCGATCCTGGCAGCAACAGATTTGTTACTGGATTTGCTGATGAAAAGCACTGGTTTAGGGTGGTCTGATGCAGTGATAGTAGGTGTGGAAGTTATTTGAGCAGAGGTGGTGTCATTGTGGAGGAAAACAGTATAGAAAAGTCCTCGTTAATCTAAAGTAGATGGGAAACTGATCTGCTTGACCTGTGGTGGTCACAAGGAGTCCATCTGCAACACAGAGGAGGTAGAGTCTCAGAGGGATACAGTCATCAACAGCATACTGTTGCTTTCTCCTGTGAAATCTTACTAGATTACTATTTTTTAAAACCCAGTCCTCAGAGTTACAAATTTGACAAATACCTTTCCATTTCAGAGATGCTTGAAGAAGAAGGTGGGATTTGCTCAGCTCTCTCCTCATTTTACCAGCACAGCAACACTTGAAATGGTAGCCTAGAAAGCTTGTATTGGCAGAGGGTGGTCATTCTTTTCAAAAAACACAATGAATATCTTTTCAGAGTTTCATGGTTGTAGTAATTTGAATGTTACAGGTCCCAGCATTAACTTTGCCTGGATCTTCAGAGAGGGTCTGAAACTTCTTCTGGCAGAGCCAACAGTCCTAGGAGGCTGGTACACTGAGCTTCACTGAAGAGGAAAGTTGTGACCAAAATTGTTTAGCTCTTTCTAGATAAGCCTGTGGGCTGAAGTTTCCAGTGTGACATCTGAAACTTAAAATCTTGTTTTAAAAAGACCTGAGGGTGCATTCTCTCTTTGTCCAAACACTGAGCAGAAAGCAACTGCTTGTGAGGCTTGCCTGGGACATAATCAGCAATGAGCTGTCCTTGCAGCTATCTCTGTCCCTCTTCTGATGGTTTCCTTCAGTTCCAGGGCCCACCTTTCTGTACACTATACATTGCATGTGTATAATTTAAATAAAAAATGAATAGAAATGTGATAGATAATATATTGCATAATTGGATATTGTATTTGATGTTGCATAAAACATTGCAACTAAACCTCTTGGGGCTTCAGCTTACTTGTAGAGAGGCCAGGATCTTAGACAGCTGGAAACCCCCTTCCCTAGCATGGAGAAAGGTGAAGTTTCTCTGCTGGTCTGCAAGGGAGAAACAGTGGGGAGGGCAGCAATGTCATGTATTGCTCTGGTGAAGCAATGTTGGGTAGATAGTGGCTCCAACAAACCACTGAGTAGTGTGTCAAGAATGTGTGGGATTATAGCCTTGTGAGGTCTGTTTCTTTCCATTTTCGTATTACTTAAGGCTTCGACATAGTTACCTTCCTCCTTCCTCTTTTGGCAAATAAATGCAAATGGTGCTTCTTGTTGCCTTACTGGTGTTGCCTTACTGATGTTGCCTTCCTGGGGTGAAGCTGAGTGTGGCTCTTTCCAGCCTTAATTCGGCTCTTTGCCATGCTGGTCCAAGGAGAGAAGGAACTGAGGCAAAGATAAGGGACTGGGACGGAAACTTGTGGTAGAGTTGGGCTTCCTGCCCTTAACCCACCTTTCTTCTGTTGGTTTCAGTCTTCTGCAAGCTTGAGGAAGATCTGGTTGTGCTTCTCCCAGCTGGAGGAATTTAGGGCTAAGTCTGCCAAGGTTTTAGGAGCAAATTTTTGTGGTGGAAAGCTTACCTTTGCACACAAAAAGTCAGGAAAACATTACCTCATGGAAACTTTTCAATTTTGTCAAGTAAATATTTTTTTTAAATATCAGTTGTATAAAATGCTTGTTTCAAGTTAACAGCTTCCTCTCTGTGAAAAACTGTCAGATTTTTATTGAAAATTCTCTATGATGCTTCAAAATCAGCACTTTTCTGGACATGTTTGGCAGAAGATGATATCTAAAATGTGTGTCACTTCAGTTTGCAGTGAAGCAGGTGTCAATCTTTAACCTTGTGTAGCAAAAAATCCTACTTTTGCTTTTAAAGCCTAGCTCAGATCCAAGGAACAGCAAACTGTGTCCCAAGTGTTGTTTTTTTTATATAAAAATGTCCTTGGAAAGAGGGGAAACTGTAGTGAGGCTTTATTTCTTAAAACATGACAAGGGAGAACAACAGAGAAGGAAACTGATAGGAAAAGTCTCATTCCCATCCTCTTCAGTTTTCCCTTCTGTTTTTTTCCTGATTTCATTTCTTAGCAAGACAAACCCTCCCTACATGAACAAGAAATTGGGCAGTGCTGTTCCCAAGGCAGATCAAGGTCTGAATTCCTGGACATGAAGCCTATTTTGGTAAGACAGAAGGGAAGCGTAGTCTGTGGATATGGTGTCACCGACCGTGCTCATGAGAGCCCAAAACACCCATAGCACTGTGTCTGAATTCATGGCTGGTCTGTCTCCATGCAGAGCACATTTTCCACATGTAGTCTGGGCAATCTCATGAGCATCCAGGAGGGGACCGAAGAACAACTTACCTTGAAGTAAGGTTATTCCCCTTCCCTGTGTTTAGACTTGTCTGGAAAAAGAGGGAGCACAAAAAGGTAAGGTTAGGACCTGAGCTGAAGGGAAGTGCAGAACAGGTCCTGTTCTTCCTGTCCTTTTTACAGCTTCAGTTGTCTTAAGAGAATTAAAGATTTGTTCCTTCTCATGGTGCAGTTGTTGGTAAATGGCCACTGCAGGCATTGACATCTTTTGCAAAGGATCTGTGAAAGCTTTACCACATGCTCCCTTCCCCAACAAACGCAGCCCACCAACCAGACTTCCCATAGCTTGGTTATGTGAAAAGAAGACATAAAAGGTGAAATGGGAACAGATGAATTTTTTTATTATTAGGAAAAACAGTGTCCCTATCCCTCTTCCAGGGAGAAGCAGCAGTGGTTCCCAGATGTCTGATATTGGGTCTTGCCTCATCACAAAATGTGCTACCTTACATCTTTACTTGCAGTGCAATGCAAATGTTGATAGAAATTAAGTCAGCTAGCTAAAACTCCTAGCCTTTATAGCAGGATTGTTTGAATATCACAGTTTGCTTCCTCGAGCACTGGATGGCAGGTGATGCTGGGGGTGCTTGTTCTTATTCTCATCCCCATGCATGCAGCAGCTCTTGGGGCTGCCAGCACCTCTTCTTATGCTGTAATACCTCCTGAGAGAAAACACCTTTTCTCTGCACACATGTACTCAACAAGCCTTGTGTGCCCAGGCTGTGTTGGGCAGTCTGTCCTGCAGTGCAAATAGGTGCTGAGGTGTCCTGAAGCTGCTTGGCCAGGCTCTGCATGTACTGCCTGGAACATGCCCCTGTATTTTCACACAGAAAATCCTTGACAGAAATAGGGGAGTCATTGCTTTCTGAATGCAAATGATGGCACTTAAGCTAGCTCTTGGATGCTGCTGTAGCATCCTGATATTCCTGATGTGAATTTCTAATGTAAGAGAGAAGGGATGGAAAACCCCAAGTGTGTGTTGGATTATTTTCTTTTTCCAGATGTACTAGGTCCTTTGTGTTAAAGGTAAATTCATGTTTTCCTATTGAGTGGCTGTCTTTGCACACTTGTCATTGCATCTTGCAAGTCTAAGATTGTCTGTAGAAATGGGAGGATATGGGGAGTTCTGAACAACAACAAAAAACCTTTAAATCTCAGCCTACATTCAAGTGCAATGAATTGTAAATGCTTCCAGTTATCTAATGACATAGATTCCTTGTTCCTGGTAACTGGCAGTCTTTACTTTCAACCTTTAAGAGAGCCCTAAACAGAAAATCAGACTCTTGTGTATATAACCTGAAAGTCTGCACATGCTCAGCCTGTAGGTTAAACTGGAGCTGCTCAGACTTGGCTTTATGCATCTCAGCAAAATGATCAATTAAGAAGCTTGTAAGCCAGGAACTCTTGTTTGAAATGTGCACTTCTGGACATATATGGGGGGGGGGGAAATAAAAGGATTATATCAAAAAGCCTTTCAACATGAAGTGTCAAATTTTCTTCATTTGAAAACCCAGGTGCAGTAATTGGCTCTTATGAAATACTTCCCTGAGTTCTGCAGAGCTTCAAGGAAGTGATGGTGTTAAAAGAAAAAAGGAAAAAAAAAAAAAAAAGTTGAATGGCACTTTAAATTTTCAAACTGGCTTCCCGAACTTGTTGAAGAGCTTATGTTGCTCATAGAGGGGGAGCAGGTGGCTGGGGAGGTCAACGTGGCAGGGCATGGCAGGCAGCGGTATGTTGCGGGGTGGCAGGCTGGGAAGGGCCTTCATTGGTGGTGTGCTGGGTTGTAACACCAGCTGGGGCAAGACCTGTGCTTTAGGATGGCAGCTCTGCAGGGGCAGCTTTGGCAGGTTTTCAGGGCTCCTGTTAAAGGCAAGAGGGAGAAGGGGTGGTAAGGTGGGGCTGCAGCACTGATGGGAGCCTGTAGCCCACCCAGGTGATGCTGAGGCAGGGTGAATGGGAGCCCTGGTCCTCTGGCTCACCTCCCTCTTGAAAAAGGGTTTCATTGCTGTTAGGTGCTAGGTGGGGAGTGTGTGACAGGGTGAGGCAGGGGATTGAATGCCCAAGCAATATGGGTTTTTAATACCTGGGTGCTCCTGCCCCCAGGTGGCCTAGGAGCAGCTCTTGCCCCTGTGTGAGGAGCTCTGGGGGTAGTGCCAGCACAGGGGCTGAGTTGTACCTTTGAAAACCCAGGTTATTGCAGCCTGCAAATGTCCCTGGGAGCACGGAGCTGGAGAGGGCTGAGAGGTGGTAATCACGCCAGTGGTAGTGTTTCAGTCTCCCAAAAGCATTCCTCCCCATTTCAGGGGTGGAGGGGTCATGTTTCCATCCTCCTCTGACTTTCCTCCTATGCTGCTGCCTGAAAGGTAGAGAGAGACATGCCCATGAAGATGCTTTCTTTGCACTTTGTGGGCTGGCTGTTTTCATTTCCTCCCCAGAAAGATTTGGTGGTTTTGAACCCCATCTCCTACTCCCAGAGGAAAGCACTGAAGCTGTTTCAGCCCTCCAAAAAAGGGGTGATGGTGAGGGATAAGCCAGCCCAGGGAAGAGTAGGCCAGTGGGGAAAAGTATGGGTGGTGCATGCTGAGAGACTGAGCTTTTCTTTCTTTGCAGGCTTTTTTCTCCCTGTCCTTGTGCACTTCTGATCATAAGGAATCGGGCTCTCAGTTAAAGCCGTGTCCCGAGGTAGGCTGCTGCACTGTCCTTACTGCTGCGATCCCTTGTTCAGAATACCACTGCTGGCAAAACCAAAGAGGTCCTGCCAGACCATAGGATGGGAAAACGGGGAAGTGCTGCTGCAGCGCTGCCCCTCTGCGAGTGTGGTTCCTGGCTGGTGGCACCTCTGCTTGCACAGCCCTGTTCCCCACCATGACTTCCCATCCTTCCCAGAGGAGGATGCTCCTTCTTTCCCCCTCACTGGGCTGTGCACGCGCAGTTCCACTGAACTTAGCCTCAGAAAAGGGCTATTCCCAGCTCCCATCCTCCCCGTGGTGCCTGTTCTTCATCTGTTACGGGAGCATTTTGTACATCAGCAAGCTCACAGCTTTGCAGGGGCCGCAGGTTTCCTTGCGGGAGCCCTCTCCAGCAATCCCCAGCAGCCTCTCCACGGCCAAGACCCTTGCAAAGCCCGGTCTTCCTCATCCTTCCCTTGGGAGTAGCGGTTTAACTTTTTTATGCACGATCGTGCCAAGCTTCAGGCGGTTTCAGCTGCAGGAAGGGGAGGGGGAGAGGTGGGCCGCGCGAGGCCGTGCCCCGGGTGGGTGTCTCGGCAGAGGGCAGCAGCGACTTTCCTTCGGCTCCGCTGCGCCCTCGGAACCCGCATCCCCCCGCCTCCGCACTCACCTCTCGCGGCTCCTCCTCGTCCTGTCCCGCCAGCAGCAGACGGCGAAGGAGACGGAGAGCGAGGTTTTTGTTTTATTCACCCAA